TATAGGATGGGTCACACCTGGCTTCACAACAGTACATGTGAAAGAGATCTATAAATCTTAGTAGATCTGAACATGAGTCAACAGTATGATGCAGCAGCTAAAAAAACCCAGTATGATACAAGGCTGTACCAATAGGAGTGTAGTGTCTAGACTGAGGATAGTAATAGTACCACAATATTCTGCTTTGGTCCGACTTCTACTTGGAAAAATTTGTCCAAATTCAGGCACCACAATTCAAGAAGGAAATTGTCAAGCTGGAACATCTCCAGAGGAGAGTGACCAAAATGGTAAAAGATCTAGAAACTATGCCCTATAAGAGATGGCTTAGGAAGCTGGGTATGTTTAGTCTGGGAAGAAAAGGCTAACAGGTGACATGATAGCCATGTTTAAATATTTGAAAGGATGTCATATTAAGGAGGGATCAAGTTTTCTGCTACTTCAGAGAGTAGAACATAGAGCAGTCGATTCAAACTACGGGAAAAGAGATTCCACCTAATGATTAGGAAGAACTTCCTATAGTGAAAGCTGTTTGGTAGTGGAATATGCTGCCTCAGAGAGTGGTGAGCCTCCTTCATTTAATGTTTTTAAACAACGGCCAGATGGTCACCTGTTGGTACTGCTTTGACTGTATATTCCTAGATGGCAGGGTGTTGGCCTGAATGACCCTTGTGGTTTCTTTCAGCTCTATGATTCTGTGATTCAAAGCCCTTTGCTGAAAACTCAAAACCTTCTGCCTGTGCATGAAAATATGTCACTTCTACTTTCTTCCATTTTCACTTTTAAAAAACAACTCTCCTTTCTGTTTATTCACTCTTCCCTACCCTTCATATATTCTACTGACCCTGTAGATGTAGAGGATAAGAGTAAGTCCAAAAAGCATGGCCCCTCTCTTCTCCTTCTTTTCATTTATGCTTTTATGGAGGGAAAAGCCATCATATAGTAAGCGTGGCTTATGGCTTTCATCTCAGTTCAGCTACTACTCTGGGTCCAGACTTCAAAGGAGCTATCCAAGGTGCTGAACTCAATACCCTGAGTAAGTTGAACAGCTCCAATAGTTTATTTAAAGTTTGGCATTTAACCCATAGCAGATTCAACATACTCTTTGCTTCTAAGATAACATGTATCACACTGAATGTTCACTGAAAAACCTGAATCAATTTCTCTTCTATCCTTCAAAATTTAGACAGACTTATTGTTGTGCCATCATAGTGCTGTGACTCATATTTATCCTGGGTCATATCATGAAAAGCTGCTGGTGAATGTGAAGAAACAATCTATGCACATTAACTAGGCCTAGGCCGCACTTTTCAGTGACCAACTAGAACTATGTATCCTATGTATCTATGTATCAGATTTCCTGCTTGCTTGCCTAGATCTAAAACAATGGCAGCAGTGTTGTTTTTTTAAAAAATCTCAAAATCTTTGGAGAGTTCCAGTGGCATGGCGGTGTGAGAATCCTTCTAAGTTTAGTTGGCGGTGAGAGGATTGCTAAAAGTAAACTCAAGATCCTTCAGGCACGATTGCTAGAGGATAAAAGATATCTCCCCAGTTAGGGGAGAAACAAAGGGGCTCATCGGTGTCCAAAAGTACCCCCGAAACTAAAGAAAAGAAAAAGAAAACAAGATCACAGAGAATCAGGAGGAAAACCTATGAGAAAGTTAGAGAACACAAAGGTATGGAGGTCTGACCTGGCCACGACCGTAGGCAACAGCCGCTTTAGCTGCATAAGCACCGCCGCCACTGACAACAAAGCCGACACGTAAGCCAATAGCCAATGCTAAGCTTGTTTCAACTGGAGTTCACCTCCTTTTATAATTTCTAACTTTATACCATCTGGGGGAAACTGTCAAAAATAAAGTTGGAGGAAAAGAAGATAAAAGAAACTGTCAGTGTGTGGTTGATGAGTGTTGTAGTGATGCTCTTTGGCACCCAGCAGAATCTGCAGGACAAGCTGACTGCTGTGATCCACAGCCACTTTGTAACTCTTACCATCAACTGGCTCAGCTTCTCTTCTTCAGGATCCTGTCTTCCTCAGTCAAGAAGACACATTGTAAAGTCCAAAAGCATAGTTTTATTAATGCATATAAAAGTAAAATAAAATAGCTAAGTAAAATCAATTGTGATGAACTTGTCTAGTTCAGCCATGCAAGATTACATCTTTAACAACCTCAAAACCTTAGTATCCAACTTGTTGCAGTTCAAACCACTGCTTCCAGTCAGGCATGCACTCACATCTTTAACAATAACATTCTAGACAAAGGATTCTCGAGGCCCTTCCCATACTCCACCTTCTGGTTGTTAACCTTATGTTGATTGGATAATGCCTGTATGATTTATGTTAAGCCAGCCTCTTGTTATCCATCATCCACCATGTGACTATTTCCCCAGCCTAACGATTGTTTACATATTGTTATCACTTGCTACCCATAACAAAGTCTGTGTCCATGAGTTCTACCTTTGGGAAAGTATATGTTTCTGTCTGTCTTGGCCATCTGGTGTTAGATTCACTTTGTTTTCCTAGATGTTGTTCTCATGAGGAAATTCCACACACACATCTCTACATTTGTTGGACTGGATGGCCCTTGTGGTCTCTTCCAACTCTATGATTCTATGATTTCACCTTTGACTGTATAACCCATCCATACCCTAACAAAAACAATAGAACAAAACTTATTGAGTGTGAGTGCAGAATGGGGCAAGACAAGACCACTCAATACTAGTAAAGAAGCAATGGCGGCCAATTGTTTAAGAATTCTCTCTTAAACAGACCATAGACTAACAAATCGGACAATATCAAAGCCTAGGGAGTGTTCAAAATAAGGATCTAGGGAATACTTTGTTGCTGAAACATGGACTTGGGGATTTGACTCTAGAGACGGACTGAGCTGGAAAACATGAAGATCCTTTTAAAATCTACAACGGGGAAGGGAGCAATAAGAAATGATACAAAGAGAATTGTTATCTACGAGACTTTTTGTGCATATTAGCTATTTAGGGAGAACTGATGATAAACTGAAATCGCGATTGAAGTGGATTACAAGTGGATTGAAGTGGATTACAATTCTGTTTCAAAGAAGAGACATCAATACTCGTCCACATGGGCAGACAGGCTCTTCAACTCCCTGCTTTTTGGGGGGCAGAACGGGAACTAATAAAGAAACAAAATAAAGGGGGATTTTATCTGATTCTGCTGAATCAGCGAAAAGACAACTGGCCTGGATCCATGTGGCTGAGGCAAACAAGTGGAATATCTTCTATTTCTAATAGTGTTTAGATAAGTAACTCAATATAAGAACATATTGATTTATTAGCAATATTGAAATAACTGGCACTATAGATAAGCAATTTTTTTTGAGAAGGACTAATTGTGTTTATATATATATTGTGTTTAGTGATTGATACTAATAGAATTGTTTGCAGATAAGGTTTTAAGACAATAACTATATGTAATACTATTGAGATGTTCTGGGGGGAAGTAATACTCAGTTTTCTTCTTTCTTTATTGGATGTTTAAGCGCTCGCCTCTGCTCCTATTCTATTACTGCTGACTGTTATATAGTATTGTTATTGATTATTGACATTATTGCTGGGGATTATTGGCTTAGACTTTCAGGAATTTTAAAAACAAGGAGAAAGGGGTTTATACAATTAATTGAACATTAATTAGATCATCAATTATATTTAGTAGATGTACTGAATATAAAGAAGAATAAATTAATTTTGGCTGATCCCCTCAGCTTGTTTTTATACTTATGTTTTTAAAAAATACCACCAACAATTTTTATTTGGTTTTCAGTAGTGTGTGAATAAATAAAAGCATTCTTAAAATGGAAAACATCTGAGGACAGCATCTCTTCTTAATAAAGTCAAGTATAAGATTCAAAGGAAAAGATAGACATCAAGTGACATTTACTGTTATTGTACACAGCCAGTATAAAATCTGTCTTATCAAATTTTTGTAACTTTAGCCTCCAGCTTCCCACTGCATTATGTTTGTGCTTTATTAAAAAATAAAGTCAAGTTCCTCCCTCTGCCCCACATCATTATACACCAAAGGAGAATAAAACAAGAGCCAATGAACTTGTAAATATTTTAATCTTGAATCCATGTTAAATGTACATAAGGAACTCTTTTAAGGGAAAATGACAATTAGGGGAACATTCCTGTATAGAGAAGAAAGAAGGACAAAAGAAAAATATTCCCTTCTCTAAAGCTTCCCTACAGAGATAATGCCTCTCTGTGTACCAGGTTGTCACTTTGAAATTCACTATGTTGACCTACAGCTTTAAGCATTGGAACATTTTAACAATAATTGGTAGCACAGAAGATATAATCACAAGGTATTGTCATCAGTGCCTCAGCTGATTTTTCACTTAAAAACACATTATGTAAATCTATGCAGAGTTTCAGTCATAAATATTATACACACATCGGGTGCAGAACAGAGACAGTGAGTGTCACAAAAACCTGCTTGAGAAACAGGCTACCAATTAATTCCCCCTCACCCTCCCACTGAACAGATATTCACTGGCACATTTTTGGCACATTGTTGTCTTTTCAACATTTGAAGCTGCTTTTCTCTCTTGACATGTTACAGTGTGTAATTTTTTTCTTCACTTTTTTCTTTAATGCCACATGTAGTAAATTTAGTGAAAAACAAAATATTTCATGTGTGAATTTGCAGCTTGAATAAAACAAAGGAAGAAAATGAGATCAATGCATGTCAAAATCCAAACAGACCAGGGTCGCAAACAGATCTTCAGCAATGCCACCTGTAGTCTGTGGCTGCTGAACAGGTAAGAGCTGTGAAGGTACAGAGCCTCCTGCCCTGGGGTGAGGTATGAAATCCTTTTATACCTGAGAATTAAGATGATGGTGGTGGTGATGTTGTTGTTGTTGTTGTTACAACACATATATCCTGTCTTTCTACCAAGTGGTTCAAGGTAGTGCACATGGGTCTACTTCCTTCAATTTTATCCTGGCATCAGTACTGTAAAAGAGTCGGTGTAGCAAAGTGGTTTGAGCACTGGACTACAACTCTGGAGACCAGGGTTGGAAACTCTGCTCAGCCATGGAAACCTACTGAGTTACCAAGGGTAAGTTACACACTCTCAGCCTCAGAAAACTCTGTGATGCATTCATTTTAGGGTTGCTATAAGTCAGAAATGTCTTGAAAGAAGGCACACAACAACATAATAACAATCTATACTGTAAGGCAGCATTGTAGCTAGTGTGGGGGCAAAATGAGGACATTGCTCCCCCCAAATAAGAATTCTTATTCCCCCAATGAAATTTTCCTTTACTCCCCAATTTTCTAGTGTTGTAGTAACTTAAACATTAGTTGTGAAGTTAGAAAAACATTTAGAAATCCAAAAGGGGGGGGCAAAGTTAACAGTAGTTGTCTAGAAAGGTTGATTTGTTTGTTCTTGGGCACTGAAGAGCATGGAATCTCTGTACACTCTGCGGTCATTCTAGGGACCCAGTTTGAACTCAAATGCTGTTGATACCCTCACTTAGAACAAACCCATTGAATTGATGGGAAGGCCAGGATGATCAAATTGAGGCTGTTGTACTTTGGCCACTTCATGAGAAGGCATGACACACCAGAAAAGACAATAATGCTGGGAAAGGTAAAAGGGGTAGAAAGAGAGGAAGACTGCATAACAGATGGATAGACGTAATAAGGGAGATCATGGGTTTGCAAGACCTAAGAAGAGCAGTGGAGAACAGAGAGGCTTGGAGATGTCTCATCCACAGAGTCACCCTGAGTTGGGGTTGAATCAAGGACAGTTAGCAACAACAACAAACAACAATAACAGTGCTAAGTTACCTTTAAACAGTTGATTCAGTTGGCCTTTTCCACTTGTGATTGTCTATAGCAGGGATAGGCAACCTTTTTGAGCTGGGGGCTGGGTTGCTGTCCCTCAGACAATTGGGGGGCCGAAGCACCATAAATAAATAAATAAATAAATAAATAAATATGCATGCACACTCTCTCAGCCCCAGAAAAGCCATGGCAAAACCCCTGTGGAGATTTTGCCAAGAAAACCCCAACAACAAGTAATAACAACAATAATCAATATCATCATGGCACGTGGCGGGTGGCAGCAGTGGCTGCAGGACTGGCTTAGAGCCAGTCCAAAGGCCTTGGGGGGCTGCATCTGGCCCCTGGGCCTTAGATTGCCTACCCCTGGTCTATAGGATTTAGGCCATTCTTCCTCAGGAATGGAAGAGAAGTCAACAGGAATCACATTATAGTTATAATGTGCAGCAGTTGGACTAGTAATAAATATGGCTGTGGGTAAGTGTGAGTGAGGCAAGCAGAAGGCAAAGAACCAATGAGATGGAGGTAAAAAGGATGGAATCGTTTCATCACGTTTCTGTCTAAGGCATTTTATGGCTTTTGTGATAGAACTGTATACTTTCCTTGACTCTCCCTTCCACATACTGTGAGAGCCTTTTATTTTGCTCATTTTATGTTATCCAAAAATATGACTATATCATCGGTGAAGGCACTCCTTTTTGTAATTATATTTCTTAATTTTTAATCCCCAGATTGCATTCTGTTTCTTAATTTTTTTTTATTAATCTTGCAATTACCAACAGAAATAAAAATGAGGAGAGAGGACAGCCTTGTCTTGTTTCTCTTTTTATCTCTATATATTCTGTTCTCTCCCCATTGATATTGATTTTCACTTTTTGTTCTTTATATATTTCTTTTATCCATCTTGTAAATCTGGCACCTAATTCCATTTTATTTATAATTTCGAACAAGGTTTGCCAATTGACCGTGTTGAATGCCTTCTCTAAATCTATGAATATCATTCCCATATTCCTTTCATTATGTCTTTCGTAATATTCAATTACATCCAACACGACTCTAATGTTGTCTCTCATTTGTCTCTGAGACAAAAACCCTCTTTGATTTTCATCGATCCAGTCTTTAAGATAATTTTTCAATCTGTTTGCCAGTATATTAGAAAATATTTTATAGTCAATATTTAAGAATGAAATGGGCCTGTAATTTCTTACCTCTGTTTTTTGTTTCATTTCCTTTGATATTACCACAATTTCATTCATCACATTTTGGAGAGGTGTACATAATTCGTTTATAAATGTTTTATAAAATGCAACAGTAAATCCATCTGGGCCTGGTGTTTTGCCATCTTTACATCCTTTAATTGCTTCTATTACCTCCATCTTGGTAATGGGTCCATTTAACTCCCCAAGTTGCTTTTTTGTTGGCACTTTAAATTCATATTTTCCCAGATACTGATTCTACCACTTGTGTTTGATAAAGTTTAGAGAAGAATTTATGAAATACCCCTTTTATTTCATTTTGTTGACTAACCACTTTTTGCTCATCTTTTATTTCTATTATAATCTTCTTTTCCTTTTCTCTTCTTAGTTGCTCAGCCAACTATTTCCTTGTCTTATTTGCGAATTCAAAGTGTCTCTGTTTAAGTGTTTTTATTTTTTCCCCTATTTCTATCCTATTCCTCCTTGCTTCTTGTTTTTGTAATATTTTTATTTCTTCTACTTTATTTTATTATCTGGTTCATTTTAAAATTCTTTTTCTTTTTCCCTAAGCAAATTATATATTTCTTGCTCTTTGTCCCTTTTGATCTTTTGTATGTAAGCATCTTGATTAATAAAGAGGGCTTGAAAGACTGGTTTTCCAGCATCCCAAATCATAGTTATTTTAGTTTCTTTTGATATGTTTTCTTTGAAAAATATTTTTATATCTTCTCTAATCTTTTTAATTACCTCTCAGTTTTGTATTAACTCATCTTTTAGCTTCCAATTATATTGTTTTATTTATTCAGAGAGAGTTAATATCAATGCATTATGATCTGATATATTTCTTGGTAGTATTCTTATTGTTTTAACCAATTTATTCATACTTTTTTGAACCCAGAACATGTCTACCCTAGAGAGGGAGCGGTGTCTGTTGGAGAAGAAGGTGAAGCCTTCAGAGTTTTTATTTAAATGTCTCTATACATCGCTTAAAGCATAACTATCAATAAATTCAAAAAAGGTTCTTAGCAGTTTTCCTTGGGTGGTTTTCTTATTGTTTTCTAAATTAGATTTCCTATCTAGACTTGGATTAAAGTCTCCACATAGTATTATCTTTTCAAACTCCAACTCTAAAAATTTTTCATTTAGTTTCCCATAAAATATTCCCTTATTTTCTTGGGGTCCATAAATTCCCACTAGTAAAAAAGTCTCACCATTCCAGTTTATTTTTACCCCACATAATGTCCTTTTGGATCGTTCATCATTTCTGTTGCTTGAATTTGATTATTAATATATATTACCTCTCCTTTTTTCTTATTTTGCTAGCTGAGATGAATGCATTACCTAATTTTTTGTTTTGTATTAATCTTTTTTTCCGAATTGATAATATGCATTTCCTGGAGGCACACTATTTTGCATTACTCTTTCTCTAATAAATGGGAAATTCTTTTTCATTTGGTTCTTGAATTAAATCCTTTTGCATTTAATGTTAGTATTTTCTTGTTGTATAGATTATTTCACTTCACTAGTTATCCAATTGGGAAGGATGTTCAAAAATATGATTTTCCCTTTTTTTCTGAAACTAGTATTACTCCATATTTTCCTCCTCTTCTTCTATACTATCTCTCCTTCTTTTATTGAATCCTTGCTCTCTTCTCTCATGTCATGGGGATTTCATCTTCATCATCTGTAATATTAATCTTCGATTCTTTCTTCCTAGTTCCGTTTTTTAAGCTTGCTATCATTTCCTCATCTTTGTTGCTCTGTTCTTCCTCATATTTTTCTTATTTCCTGTTTGTTGATTTATTATTTCTTTTCTCCAAATCTATTTGTCTTTCTATTTCCTTTCTGTGTTCTCTCCAAAATTTGCTTGCTTTGTCAATTGTGTTTAGTCTATATCTTTTCTGGTTCCACATTGGGGATAGTCCATCAATTTCTTCCCATCTAAATGGGATCCCATAATGTTTCAGTTGTTCCATTAAGAATTGATAATCTTTCCACCTCCTCAGTATGTGGGCTGGAACATCTTTGAAGACCTGGATCTTGACTCCCTGTATTACAAATCTTGTTTTATAACTTTTTTGCAAGAACTCATTCTTAGTTTGTTTTCTAGTCCAGTAAATTACAATGTCTCTAGGTAGTTTTTTGTTTTTGGTTATTCTTGAATTAATCCTATATATTCTGTTGATTTCATTCTGTATTTGTTGTAGAGGTTTATCCAAGTATCTTGCCAAGTATGGTACCAGATAGTCATATAAGTTTTCATTTATTTGTTCCAGCAAGCCTATAAGTTTAATTCACTTCTCTTTCAATTTGATTTCAAGTTTTAGAATCACCTCTTGGTCTTCTTGTTGATATCTACTTAATTCTTCCATTTTGTTCTCTACTTGTTTTGATTTTCTTCCAATTTCTCCACTTTCCCTGCTATTTTTGCTATGTCTTTATTAATTTTGTCTAAGTTGTGTCTTATTAATTTAGATTCATGTTTCAGTTCTTTCATTGTTTCTACTCTAGAATCTCTAATTTCTTGCTTTGTCTCATCTCTTGAATCTATAATTTCATTTCTTAAATCCAGATGTATTTTTTTCATTTCTTCTATAAGAAACATATTTCCTTTTGTTGTCATTTCTAAAAAAGGTCTTCTTTGACTTGAGTTGTCATTGTTTGTTTTTTCTCTCACTTCTTGACATCATGTCCTATTCTATTTCAATTAGTTTATTGTCTTCAAACTTGGCTTAGTTTATTCTATATTAGTTCCACCAATCATTTACCAATTGTCTCTTATCTTATTTTCTTTTCCACTTTCACATCCCTTTCAGTTGCTTCTACTCAGTTTTTGATTTTTTAATTTAGTTTGAATTTGGTTTAATTATTTGATTTCTTTTCTTTTCTTACTTTTTCTTCTTTTTCTATTTTCTCTTAATTTGATAGGTTTATTTGAAATTGGCAATTATTATTATTTAGTTAATAACTCTATATCTATATATAATTCTTTTATTTAAATTCTAACTTTATATATCATTTTTGTTACTTAGGTCCACCCAGATAGATTATC